CTCTTGAGCTCCATTGAGGTTCTGCATAGGAGGATTTGCACGGTTCTTGCTAGGAATGAAGAAGTAATGTTGGAGGAAGTTCTTAATAGAGAGCATTGTTCGTTAAGTGTTAAGTTGACAAGTGTTTAACTCTCTAGTACCCCCCTCGAAAAAAGAGAAATAAAAGAAAAGGAAAAGAAAAGAAATGGAAAGTAGAAAAAAGGAAATGGAAAAGAGGTGATAAAACGAGGTAAATAAAAGTAGAGAGTTGCCACAAAAGTCTAAGTGTATGCTCTAGAGAGGGTTTCTTGGAACTCAAGCCATTGATACACCTAAGTGTTTGTTAACCTCTTTCACTACTATGATTGAGATGTGGATAGCAAGACTAGACCGAGGAAGTGTGCTTGAATGTAGTTCGTGGTTGGTAATGGTTTGGAAGAAGGAAAGAGCGGTTTTTGGTCGTTGCTAGTGGTCGTTGATTGTAGGAAAGGTTCTAGTGAAACCATGGAACCTTTGGTTTTAGGTTGAAGGTGTAGGACCTCATGTTATGTTTGCCACCACCCAAAAGGCATTTTCCGCTTGTCCAAGTCAATTTTCAGTCATTTGAACCCGTGCCTAAGACCTCTGGACAAGCTAGTGACGACAACCGTTCTATGAACTCTAGCGTTTAGAGGTTGCCGCCGTGGTGAAGAGACGATAGATCTGAGTGTTGATGGTTGTGCACATCCTTTGCACCAAATGGTCTTGACCCCACTGGTCGAGAGTGTGTGATTCATTCATGTTTTCATGTTCATATCTTTTTGATGATGGTGAAAATGCATTAAAGAAGAAACAAAGTGTTACAAAAATCAAAGTCAAACCATCTTCAACGGAGGTGAACGTAGGCCAACCAACAAGAAAACATAAAAGGAACCAGAACAACTGACAAACTAGAAAGGAATTAAAACAAAACCAAACAACAAACCAAAAGACAAAATCTATCCTAGAACACCCACTCACACCAAGCATTCCATACTAACAGCCTCTCATCAATACCTCAAGGAAAGTTACACCTGTTCACATACTCCTTCAAGCCTTCTTGTCCTCAGGCCTATAACCACACCCACGACTGCATACCAGCTCATAGAACACAGCAACCCCCCTTTAGAACTGCATCATCAATCAAAACGCATCCACCAGTACCCCTCAAAAGACATTATTGTTCATCCATCTCGAAGCGACGTCTCCCTGCACCATGCCAAGCACCACTGGCCACCTCCAAATAAACTCTCACAATCCTAGGACCATTCTTCCTCCAAAAGAAACACAGAAAAATCCAAGCAAACAGCAGGCATCTAGGGAAGCGCAAACAGGATGCGAAGAAGACCAGCACATGACACTTAACTCCTAGAGGGACACCAACTCAAACAAAGTGTTGCTCAATCCATCAAACAAGGGTGTTCTTGTCCGCTTTCCCATTGACAACAATCCAATCAATCACCATCTAGGAGATCCGACGAACGATGATACTTTCAGAAGTGTAGACATCTCGAAATATGCGTCTGTTATGCTCGAGCCAAAGTGACCAGCAAATGGCATGAAGACTGCAGTAGCAGAACCAGCCTTCCATGTCGTCAGTGGTGGCATCAAGACAACTTCGAATGGTGTCAGTGATATCCTGATGTGGACGTTGGAGTTGTCTACATCTTCTACTGATGGAGTTCCAAAGGTACTTGGCATAATCACACTTAAGAAAAAGATGATCAGTGGTCTCCCTTCCTCTTCAAGTTGTCAAGAGTCTGAACTCTTTTATGGAAGAGAGTCCAGATAAAGAAGCATAGTTTCAAAGGAATAATTCTTTTCCAAACAGCACCATAGGGAAAGGTAGGAACACCCGGGAAGGACTCGTCAATGAGATACATGTACATAAAGGAAACAGAGAAAGATGATTCTGGCTTTGGAACCCAAATGGGTCTGCAAGGACTATAAGCGTTGTTAGCAAAGCTGAAAGAATCAAGATGAAGCAACAAGTTGTTTTTTTCTCTCAAAACCCCACCCATTAAAGCAATATTAAGATCTAAATCCCAATGAAAAAACTCACCAGAGGAAGAAAACATGTATGAGATAGATGCACCAGGGGAGGCGGTAGCTGCTGTAACGCGAGGGAAGTTATTGGCAAGGATGATTCCAGGTGCCTAGCAGTCAAACAAAAAAGAAACCTTGTTGCCGCCACCCGGATCGATATATGCAAACTTCTAGAAAGATTTATTCTCCTTAGAAATGACAACCCATGGTGATCTGCCAAAACCATTCTTGATGTCCAAAGTGATCCAGGTGGAATGTTTGTGCTCATATTTGCACGTAATTAGGGAGTGCCACCAGCTGTTAACTTCAGTAAAGAACTGCCACAACCATTTAGCTAAAAGGGATTTGTTGAAGGACTAAAGATCACATAAACCCAACCATCCATTAGATTTGATAGCCTCGCAAATATCCTTGATAAGAGGTTTTTTGCTATCATTCCTCGTACCGCTCCACAAAAACCTTCTCATGATTCTTTCCATAGAAGCTGAAGTCGAACATGTTGCTTTGAACAAGGAAAAGTAGTGCAACGACAGACTGGAAAGGACAACTTTGTTGAGGGTGAGTCTGGTGCCATAAGTGAGGTGTCTTGCCTTCCAACCATCGAGTCACTTATGATATTTGTCAATGACAGGAATCCAGAATGCGACGTTTGACGAGTTCATGCCAAGAGGATAACCCGAGTACAGAAGTGGATCATTACTCCATTTGCAGCCGAATAAATCAGCATAGTAGCTCGGCTCAGAAATATCCCCAATGGGGATCATGAAGAATTTGTCGAGGTTGATCTTAAGCCTAGTGACTGCTTGAAAACAAACCAATGTGGCAACAAGATTGAGGACTTGAGTGTGGGAGGCGTCATAGAAGAGAAGAGTGTCATCCGCAAAAAGAAGATGAGTGACTTCACCACTTCGGTTAGCTTCATTCATGTAGAAGCCATCAGTCAGACCAACATTTTTCAACTTGGAGATCATGAATGAGAGTGAATAAGCCCGACGAAAGTGGATCTCCTTGAAGGAGTCCCTTCTCCGCAAGAAAGAAATCTTTCGCCTCATTATTAACCATAATAGAGAAATGAGGCTTGCACATGGTGCCTTTGATCCAATTAGACCACTGCGGAGGAAAACCAAGCTTAGACAATATCTTGAACATACATCCCCAATTAACATTATCAAATGCCTTCTTGATATCGAGTTTGAAGAAGAGTCTCGGTCTTCTACTTCGCTTTCTGTTATCGATGAGTTCATTAGCAATAAGACCTACATCAGATATATGTCTTCCCTTCATATCAGCATGTTGCTGTTGGGAAACAATTTGAGGAAGAATGTGAGCGACCCTGCACGAAAGAACTTTGCTCACAAGTTTGTTAAAGCTTCTCAACAGAAAAATAGGCCTGAGATCTTTCACATCTTCCACGGAGTCCTTTTTTGGGGTGAGGCATATGAAGGAGTGAGTCACGAAATTGGGTAAAGAGCCGATATCATGACATTCATTAAAAGCCAGCATGATATCTCTTTTGATCCATCCCCAACATCTCTTGTAAAATTCAAAAGTGAATCCGTCCGGTCCTGGGGCCTTGCTCCCGTTGCTGTCAAGTAGAGCATCCCCAATTTCCCGCTCGTTGAAGGCGGAACATAGGGAAAGAGAATCTTGATTCCTCACACAAAAATTGATGTAGCTACGAGGAAAGGAACGCATGCCAATGTTATCCTTAAAGTAAGTGGTAGTGATTGACGAGTGCTTGCCCAACTCATCACAGCCTTCATTAAAATACCATTGATAGTGATCTTGCTGATGAAATTCACCTTTCTATTGTAATCGGCTACCTTGTGGAAGAAGCTAAAAAAAAATTTGTCAAACTTCAGCCACAGTTCTCTGGAATTCTGTCTCCAACACATCTCTTGCATATTGAGGGCTTTAACTAGCTCGATCTCCGTCTGAATTCTATCGTTAATTTCTTCTTCTGAGAGAGGCCTGATTTCCACAATCGTATCACTATCATCAATATTCTTAAGTAGCACCTCCACTTTATCATGAATATTCCCGAAAATGTGTTTATTCCACTGTTTGATATTTTACTAAAGAAACTGCAGGCGATTGAACCAGCGAAAGATGAAACTAGACCCTTCGATAGGAGAACAAAGAGAAATAGGGAGGCTAGTAAAGAAACATTCATCCTCGAGCCACATATTCTCAAACTTCTATAGTCGTTTAATGGTCCGAATCGATCCTTGGGAGAGCAAAGAGACTACAATTTGGTGCCAAGGAATCAAACTCAGGGGAGATGAGAGCAGGATCGAAGAACTACCAGCTCCGTGGCACCAAGTGAAGTGGTTGCCCCCAAGAGGAAGATCGTGCAGGGCATTAGTATCAATGAAGGTGTTGAAGGCCTCCATCATGTCTGAGTTCCGCCATGATCCCATGTACTCAGATGTCTTTTGACCATGTTAAAATCCCTAGCAATACAAAGAGCTCTTTGATAATTTTGCAAATCTCGTGAAGATCATGAAGGAAAATCAATTTATCATATCGATTCTGAGGGCCATAAACCACAACTAGATGCTAGGCATTGGATCTATGAGTGTCAATGAATTCCACATCAATGAAGTAATTCCCTTTGCTGCTTGCAATTTTTCCATGGCGGACTTTGTCCCAAATTAAGACAATACCCCCTGAACTGCCAACAACATTTTTTGCGACCCAACCTAAATCACCTCTACCTCCCACACTCTTGACAAGCTCGTCTGTGCATTTTAACCATTTAGTTTCTACAAGACCAATAATTTAATCCTGCTGCCTACCAATGATCCTCTTAACTCGGTCTCTTTAGGTTGAATCTCTCAAACCCCTGACGTTCCAAATAAGGATGGAGATTTTCATCATCATGGATTGTAAGCGGAGCCACTGACCTATTTTCGGCAGCTCCTCGGTCCTAACGGAGGAGGTGCGAGAGGCCCCAATCAACGAGCCTCCATTTCCAATTTGGTGCGGCGAGCTCCAATTTTCCTGCGATGGGTCTCGTGAGCAGCCTGAGAAATGATGCCATCAATCTGAACATGTCCATTATCATCTCCAAGATCGAATAGTTGACTGAGAGCAATACTAGTGTCGATTAAGGTCTTGACGTCGAAATGGTAACTCTCCAAATCCCACCTGTTAGTTGCCTCAGTGTTGCAACAAGAAGGAGAGGGTAAATCGATTTGCTCGTCATGACCAGGGGCTGGAAGGGAGGAAGGGGGAGAGGCAAAAAAACGTATCATCCCCGCCTATTTCTGAAGAATGAAGATTGTCTCCGTTGAGATTGGTGCATTGTGGGCTGCCTAAGGGATGAGAAAGGAGGCAAATCAGAGAAGAGGGGGGGTGTTTCCGGCAACCAAAAGTCAAGTTCAGAGTTGAGTATAGAAAAGGCATATGAGACGAGAGAAATGGAGATTTGGGGGTGAGAGAGATGGGTTGGGCAGGAGGGAGGCTAGCGATGCTTGGGGAAAAAGGTAAAAAGGATTGACAAGGGTGAGAGTTAGGGATGAAAGTGACATGGTTTGGTTAAGACTTGAATGGAAGAGGATTTTAAAAGAGAAGAATGACTTGGGGGAAGGTGGTGACACGATGAGAGTCAAAAAGAGATCAACGAGTTTGAGGGAGGTGGGTTGTTGCGAACTGGTATGAAGGTTGAGAGAGCAAATGGATGAGGAAGGGAGAAAGGATTTGGGCTTAACGATGAGCAGGGCAGAAATGGGCCTAGAGTCTGGAGGAATCCAGATGGGCCCAGCTTTTTGAGTCCATAACTGTTTGGTAGCGGGCTGCGCACTTCTAGAGTCGTATCCACTTTTGTTATTACTGATTGTGGTGACGCTTCGATTTCCATGCACGTTGGAATGTGTGGCCCGCGCAGGACGAGGTAAACTGTTGCATGCGGACGTTTTGGGTGCAGGCTTCAAGTGATGTCCTTTGCTCTTCCAACCCTACCGGTGACTGATAGAATTTTCCAATTGAAACTCAAACCACCGGCGGTGGCACCATAATCTTAGCATGATAGATAACAGACCCGTGATTAATTAGGATTAACTCCGGTAGGCTGGGACTTTTCTTGATCCTGATACGAACATAGGGAAGGAACCCGGAATCCCAATCGAGTTCAATGAAACTGCCACAGAAGTTCCCTATAGTTTTAAGCAAGTCAAAACTTTTGAGATGTAGAGGGATATTGAATACAAGAATCCACGTAAGAGATTCCATTGTGTGATTGTCGAAAGTCTTCCTGCTATTCAACCGAATGATGAAATCTTTGTATTGGACACGTTCGATTTTCCGAATACGAATAACATCCAATGCCAAAGGGCATATAAGAAGCCAACTGCCATCGGATCTATCTTCAAGGGCATGATTATCATCGATAGCCCAGTACCTTATAGCCCACTTCCAGAAGTATGGGATCAACTCTCTTGTGAAGAAGATGTTACCTTTTGGTTCGAATGACAGCAAAAGACTTTGGTCAAGGATATTGTTTTGCTCCCTTACCCCTTCATTTTCGACATCAATGTATCTGCCTTCATAATCTTGCTGAATAGTGCACATTCCACCTCCGTAGAAATTTACCGACCCGGACATATATATTTTAGTTTCGGCTAACCGATAAACCATTCGATGGTAGTTTCGGTGGTTGATGTCGTTAAAAGCGAATGCAAAGATAATCCATAAACAGAAAATCAGCAAATTAACTCACAAGATATTTTTTGCTACTTGAGAGGTACTTCTAGAGTTTGTCTATGCTTTGGTAATGGCAAGACCATACTTGATGGATATACCGATGCTAACATGGCAAGTGATGTGGACTCTAGAAAGTCGACTTCTGGATACATGATGAGTTTTGCAGGTGCTCCAGTTTTATGGAAATCTAAACTGCAAAAATGTGTTGCATTATCAACAACATAAGGCGAGTACATAGCCGTGACGGAAGCTTGCAAAGAGATGCTATGGTTGAAGAAGTTTCTTCAAGAGTTGGGCATCAAGCAAGAGAGGTATGTGCTCTATTGTGATAGTCAAAGTCAATTCATCTTTTGAAGAATCCTACTTTCCACTCAAGGTCGAAACACATAGATGTTCGATATCATTGGATTCGTGATGTTTTGGAAGAGAAGTTGTTGGAGCTCAACAAAGTGCATACATATGACAATGGTTCGGACATGATGACTAAATCTCTACCAAGTGGGAAACATATCTTCTGTCGAGATAAGGCAGGTTTGGGGCCTCCCCCCCCCCCCCCCCCATATGAGCTCAAGGGAGAGTTATTGTCTGGTAAAAATAAAGAGGAGACAACTTTTCATTTTTTTGATAGAGAATCAGAAAGAGAAGAGATAAGGAAAAGAGAGAAGCGAGAAACAGAGAGCTGCAGTTTTCGTTTCTGCAGCAGGGCAGCCTGTTCAAGTGAGTGTTCTGGAAACTTTAACCGTTGGATCGTTCTGAAATTTGGACAGAGGGTTCGGAATTATCTGGGCTTCATTCTTGCCGGCGGGATCGTCGTTCTTATCTCTAGTTAGTCGGGAATAGCTTCTGGACAAAAGGTCTATGAATCTGTTTTGGATACTTCTAAACCTCTTTTGGTCTTGGTCTTGATCTTGTTCTTGTTATCCAGCATCTTGGTGAGAGCTATTGTGATTGATCAACGGCGGATCTAGGGCTGGGCAAACCCGGGCCACGGTCCACCCCTCCGGCGGATCCAGAGCTAATATAGAGCTTATAAATTTTTCGATCTTAGGTATTCGGCCCAATATTATTTAATGGTCGTTCGAGTGTTATTTGATAATAAATTTTGCGTAGTTAGAAAAATGGTCTAGATGAACATATCCAAACCATTACTCTCAATTTAGTCTGGGAATTTTAGCCCGAATGATTTTCATTTGAAAAAAACAATAAAACCTAAAAGTCTAAAATGTAAAAGAGTGTATAAAGTTTCATTGAAATAAGAAAATCCTCTAAACAAATTGATTTGTTGGTTGATTCGTCTAGTGTTGACCTTGACCTTTTCAGCGGCTACCATGGAGAGAACATTTTAAGCAATGAAATATGTTAAAACTAATTTGCGCAACAAAATGCTAAGAATTTCTCGTTGATTGGTTAGCTATTTTCTTTGAGAGAGAGTATGCTATTGATATTGATGGAGATTCTATTATTATTGATGGATTTGTCAAATTAAAAAACCTTCTATTACAATTGGCATTGTAATGTATGAAAACTATTGTTATCATATATTTTTGGGTAAATACAATTATTAGTCAAACCTTTTAGACTTTCCAAATTATTAGTCAAACTTTTCGAAATACAAAATATTAGCTAAATCTTTTGTAACGCATCAAAATATTAGTCATTTGTCTGTTACGTTGGTAATTTTGTAACTATTTTTTTATTTGAAATACTAAAATTTTAAAATGTTGACAATTTTTGTTTACGGTATATAATATTAAATTGAAATGCGGCCTAGTGCTTTACTGTATTCTGGATCCGCCGCTGTGATTGATTGTTGATCTAAGAACTCTGTTCTTGAGGTGTTTGTAATCCTCTAGCTAGTCTAGAGAGGACTTGTAATCCCACCAAAGACTAGTGGAGTTGTGACTTGGACAAAAATCCCGTAATTTTTTTCCGATTTCTGTTTTCCACGTAAAAATCATGTGTCTCTATTCATTCTATTCTTGCTTGCCTATGGTTGTTGCTCCATTTCTCAACAAGATCCATAGCTCTGTGACTGTGAACGTCATTCCAAACTTAATTGGCGGCCTGCCGTGTCTTTCTTCTTCTTCTTCCTCCTCACTGTTCCTTCCAGCTGGGCTCTCTTTCTCGTCGTACCAGTTACAACCTTCAAGTCTTCCTTCAACCACCACCGTCCACCGTCACCTCCGTAAATACTTATTGTCTTATTCAATCTGTTAGGTAAGCTATCAATTTCCTCTGTTTTTTTTTTCTTTCACTCTGATCGAATTCCAGTTTCCTGGTAGTTCTTAGCCGACAATGTATAAACCCAACCGTTGGGAATCCTAAGAGACTGGTCGGATTGACCGTCAATCAAGTATCAACTCTTTTCTTATTTCAGTGGCCATTTGATACCTGACCAGAAACATCTTAGTCTTATCCTGCCATGTCCGTTTTCTGAGTATGGTAGGCCAAACTTAATAATCACAGGTACCTGTATACTCATATTTAGATATCTGAAATCAAACATGATCAGTCTGAAGAAGATACCTTTTCATTTTACCCATCTCATTTTCTGGATTGACAAAATTTTATGAATTAAGACATAAACTACGACTTTATACATCAATTACTTCTAATAAAGACTTCCTTTTTTGGCCATTTTTCTTCTCTCTAGTCTCTAAATTGAGCACTGAGTAGCCTACCTTGGATCGACAATTACAAAAATTTTGGGCGCCCTCATCAATAAATTAATGAACTAACACTGAACTTTCAATGTACGAATAAGAAACATAAGACTAGGAGAAGGAAGAGTGGCAGGCAGCAGCTTCTTCCCAAGGAGTTCACTTCAAACCCAGTCAAGAGTACTTCTGCTATATCTCACTGATCTCACCATCCCTACACATCCCGACGTCGATCGTAATCGTTCCTTTCTTCTTTGTGCTCATTACCCTGCAACAGTTCCTTCTCGGAGACTGCCCCCCAAAAACAGAGCAATTAACTTCCACGGCAAGAAATCGAATGCAACCAATAACATCAATCAAATTCTTAATTGACATACACACTTACCCTGCTCCACAACTGAGGATCAGGCCTCTTGTACACCACCGCCATGTTTATACTGCTTGGATCAGCCATCTTCCACTTGCAATTAGGGTGGGGGACACGATGCCGTAGATACTCGCTCACTGTCGTGTTCAGTGAGGTCATCGACCTTGCCTTGGAGAGGTAAAACACGAACGGCTTCTGGCAAGGGTTCCTGGCGACAGGGCGAGTGTTGAACGCGTAGGCCGTGTAGTCGGCCCTCTTGTACCAATTGAGGAACGTTCTGGAAGGCATTTCGACCTCTCGTGGGGAGAAAACTCCCCTGAAGATTTGCACCGCGAAACCCCAGGACACCGAGACAGTCCAGCTCCGTGACTTGTCGTAGCAGATAGACTGCTGAATCAGCCCTGCCGAGTCCATCTTCATCGGCACCGCGAGGCGCTGTAGGGCCTCAACACGCGTCACGTTCGGGAAGATTGGCTCCACCACGTCGAGGTGGTGCAGTGAGACTAACGGCGCCACCGGGTGTGATGCTAAGAGGCCGAACAGATTGCCGTACACATCATACTGCAAAAGAGAAGAAAATCAGACATTGGTTCGCTAAGCGACACTGTCTTTGGGACGGTTAAAAATCAGTTTAACACATTCTTATAAGAATCAAACCGGATCAACGGCTGTGCTACTAGAACCGCCAAGCCTGTTACGATAGCAGTCTGGTTCATTGCTTGGACAGTTACTGACGGACCATACTGTTTTTCATGCTTCAATATAAAATCAGATGATCCACCACAGTTTAACAGATCATTGGTTACTATTTTAAACACAAATTTGTTTTAAAAAAATTACTTTAATGTAAACTGAGACCATCAAACTAAATTTATTAGTTTTATTTCAGATTACTCTTCTTATTTTTCAACTTTGTTGTCTACTTTAGGCGGTCCACTACCGACTACCACTGTGATTTTTAACTTGAACTAAAAGAAATTATGATTTCTTTTGTGAGATCGCATGAATGATTTGTTAGATATTTGAGTGATGATATGAATTTGAAATTGTTTATGTTCAATGATAACTTCATTATTAAATCAGTATATGTTATATATCATGAACGATTGTATCAACGGTTAACCAACAATAACAATTAACTACTAGACCCTCAACCACTAACATTTTCGATTCAGCATCCGGTCCAACCTCAGCATCCGGTCCAACCTCAGCGAATTTGAAGGCTTTTTCTCAATTTGGGGGGAGCGTGGGTGCACGCGTGAGGCAAGCGCGAGTAGAGGGGACCAGAAATTTAATCGGATGGTGTAGCGTGGACGGAGCAAAGGTCAGAAACAGAAGTGTACACGTGGGCCCTGTTCCGTAGATCGGGAACGGGCGTCAGATACGGACGGGACGGGGTTGAGCTCGTGACTCGCTTCCCAAGAAACGAGTCAGACTCAGAACGAGTCACCGCCACGAAAACCAACCGGAACCCGGCAGGAAATTGCCCGAAACCGGGATAAAGGACGATTTTCGGTTAGCGAGGAGAAATTTGTATCAAATCAAACTAGATAAACCTAACTCGGATGGGGAAGTGGGGAACTCGTTCAAAGCTCGAATTAAATGGAATGCCGGCGGCCAAAACGGCGGCGGTGCCGCGGAGTTCAAAATTGGAACTGGAATTGGTAAAAAATAGTTAACGAACCTGGTGGAACCCGACTTCTTTGGTTAGGGGAACGCCGAGCTCCGCCATACATGCCTGCATTCTGTCGTCGGAGCCGTACAATCCAGGGTACCTTTGAATACACCGGTCCTGAATCTTCTCGAGGGCTTTGGCGAGCGGGTAGCTGATGGCGAACCCGCCGCCGCCGTAGGCCATCCCGTAGGAGAAATAG